TGTGGGCCGATCACCATCTGCTCTCCATTCGAGCAGCGCATGTTCTGCCTGAACAGCGGCGCGGATATGCTATCGAGGGACGGGATTCCTCACGGAGAATGGAGACTAAACCCCGGGACAGTGGGGCTGATCTGGGAACGGTTCGGGAGAGTGGAGATAGACTTGTTTGTGACAGAAGAGAACACACATTGCCCTCTGTTCTTCTCTCTGTCACGCTCTCCCCTAGGCGGGGACGCACTCACGATGCCGTGGCCGAATGCCCGTCTGTATGCGTTCCCCCGCTGAAGATTTTATCACAAGTGCTGCACAAAATCATAGCGGAGAAGGCGTCAGTGTTATTAGTCGCTCCGTACTGGCCGAACAGGCCTTGGTTTCTCGATCTGTTGGAAATACTAACGGCTCCCCCATGGCCGATCTCGCTAAAACGGGATCTCCTGTCTCAGGCAGACGGCTCGGTATGGCACCCCAACCCCGAATGGTGGAAACTTCAGGTGTGAATGGTGTGCGGGAACCGGTAAACCTGGGCTCGTTGTCTCGCCGCGTGATGGACACGATTACGGAGGCGCGAGCCCCTTCTACGAGACGCCTGTACGCCTGTAAATGGGTAGTGTTTGAGAGATGGTGTGAATCGAATGGTCGGGACCCGGAGAACTGCCCCGTGACTGACATTCTGAATTTTTTGCAACAACGAATGGACGGCTCTTAAGGTTTATGCTGCAGCTATCGTTTCACGCTGCTATCGACGTGCGCTCAGTGGGAAAACACGACCTAGTGATCAGATTTTTGAGAGGTGCGAGAAGACTGAGACCCTCTCGCCCTCCTACAGTGCCAGATCTGGCTCTGGTGCTGGGGGCGCTAGCCCTCCTGCCCTTCGAGCCACTTCAGACTGTCGGATTGAGGGAGCTCTCGCTTAAAACCACACTGCTGCTCGCCCTTGCTTCGGTCAAGTGCATGGGGGATTTGCAAGTGCTCTCTGTGAATGCGGACTGCATGCAGTTTGGACCAGGTGATTGTAACGTTATGCACAAGCCAAGATTGGGCTACGTGCCTAAATCGCTCTCGACACCGTTCAGAGCGCAAGTGGTGGCGCTTTCTGCTTTCACTCCAGAGTTGGAGACTTCATTGGATGCCGCCCCGAATCAGGTGTTGTGTCCGGCTTTGCAAGTTTACATCGACCGCATGGCTCAGTTTCGGCAATCTGAGCAGCTGTTTGTATGCTTCAGAGGCAGTGCGAAAGGGCAGCTGGTCTCCAAACAACGGCTATCACATTGGGTGGTTGACGTTATTGCCTTGGCATATTCCAGCCGGGGAATGGAATGTCCTATTGGTGTCAGAGTCCATTAGGCGAGAGCGGTTGCCTCCTTGTATGGACTAAGGGCGTTTCTATCAAA